AGAATTAGGTGAATATTTCAGTCCTCTCTCCTAGGATCATTCTCAGCTCCAAATAACATTTGGGTTTGGAAGGGACAGGAGCCATCTCAGGGTGTTTCTTTCCTAATCCTTATCTGTGTGTGTGTGTGTTTGTGTGTGTGTGTGTACAGCTGGGGGTTAAGGAAGTCTCTGAAGATCAGATCCTGGGCCTGATCTTAGAGGTTGTCCTGCTGACTCCAATGGAATCCTGGGCTTATGTTCAGGAAAGGTCCTACCCAGGTTCTCAGTGTAAGCCCTGGAGGCCTCTCAAGGGCTTGGACCATGCTTCTTCTCTGGTGGCTCCCAGGCCCATGGGGTGGAGCCCTGAGAAGGGGAGGGCTATGTGCTGGTCCTCCACCTTGCCTACTGACTTGCACCATGTCCTGGGATTTTGGCAGAATCAAGTCAGGATGCCTCTGAAGCCAATAGTTTGCTAACGAAGGCAAGGACTTGGCATGTACCAGTAGCTTTAGAGCTCCATACTGGGTGTGCCCAGTGTGGATTAGGCCAGACCACCACATCACCTCCATCCATGTCATGGGGTGCTTCTTTCCATTGGAGCATCCTTAGCCTTCAGCCGATTGGGGTGTCTCTGCTCCATTACCCGTGGTGAAGATTAACATCTGGGCATGTTGAAAGGTCAATACCTGCCCAGGGACTTTAGGCCAGGAAGAAGCACCTGGGTCTTCCCAATGTTTTAAGCTTATGAGCTTAAGATACAGATGGAGCAGGGTTTCTGTTCTTTATCCCTCAGGGACTGAGTCAGGTTTGGCCGTGAGGCTGGTGAATGGAGGGGACCGCTGTCAGGGCCGCGTGGAGGTCCTGTACCGCGGCTCCTGGGGCACCGTGTGTGACGACGACTGGGACACCAATGATGCCAACGTGGTCTGCAGGCAGCTGGGCTGTGGCTGGGCCACGTCGGCCCCTGGAAGTGCCCGTTTTGGTCAAGGCTCAGGGCCAATTTTCCTAGACGACCTGCGCTGCTCTGGCCATGAGTCCTACCTGTGGAGCTGCCCTCACAATGGCTGGAACTCGCACAACTGTGGCCACGGAGAAGATGCTGCTGTCAACTGCTCAGGTGGGGATGAAATATACCTATCTCTCTCTCTGAGATGGTCTTTGAGGGGAAGAAACACATTATCCACACAAGGCCCACATCCAACACTCTGAGTATTCTGTGCCTCCCAAGGTTTCTAGAGGCAGCAGGCAACTGAAGTACAATGGAAAAGAAAGTGTAGGGTCAGTGGTCCTTGCCTGTTTGGCCATCAACAGAGAAAGGCCAACATTACTTTGCAGCGACATGGCATAGTGGGTGAAATGACCATCCCCAGTTCAGTGGGCAGAAAAAAGTGGGCCTCTTCCTTCCAACAGAATCATCTGCTCAGTCTACACCCGTATCCCAGGGCCTTACATATCAAGGCGCACCTATTGGGAGTATGGTTGGAAAATGAATCACCTTCACGCCTTCATGGTTATATTCTTCTGAGCCTTCCATGAAGCCTATTTGGAGAACAAATTGCAGTGTACATTGTGAATTTGGGAGGGCAGTGAAGAGCACTTGGGAACTGGGGAAGGTACAGGGAATGGAAACTCACTACTACATGGAATGCTAAAGAAACACATAGGAATATGGCAATCAAGTTGACTCTCTATAGAAATGGAGAAAAACCATGTAAAGACTGGGAGCATTGCCCCTGGGCTGGTGGAAATGAGGTCTATCTAGACCAACTGCCCAGAGTCATTCTTGCTGTTCATATGCAGAGCGAATGCAATGGCTTTGGTGGCCTGTCCTGGGCCTGGCAAGGACATTCCACCTCCTGGAATGCCAGCCCTCAG